TCATCTTCTGCACCCCACTGCTGCTGCTGCCAACAGGCCCCTCAGTTGTACTGTCACGTTACCCATTATTTTTATAATTCTTTGCAAGGCTGTCTGTTGAAGACATGTTCACTATTTCTCTATAAATAGAGGGATTTTTTATAAAGCTAGAGGGACTTTTTGTCCAGTAGAACGAATCTCCCAAAAGTTTCTCAAACACAGAAAAACTCTCAAGTTCATCAACACTTGAGAAATCAAAACCCAGAATTCCAAACACTTGTTGCCTTCGATTCTGAAGAACAAATACTCTTCAGTATCCTTCGAATCCAGTTTGGAAAAAAACACAAGACTTGTTTCTTTCCTTCCTTCGAATCCAGCGGTCCAAGTACAACTGTTGGCCCCCTCTGTCAAATCCAGAACCTTGGGCCTCCACTCAAGGTCCCACATCCATTCAAGTCCAGAAGCAAGGTAAGTTTCTTACCTTTGAACTTTTCGTTTCATGACATAACATGTAAATAATCTTGACGTTCGTTTGAAACATGTACATACTACTGTCCTTTTTGTTTCCACTCTTTTAACATGTTTTCAGAGCTAAACCCTTTCGTTTTTGCTTGCTGTTTGCCTGAACTAGCTTTAGTTATTAAACTGTTTATTAACATGGCCTCAGGCCATGTTGTCATTTAATGCTTGAAATGAAAGAAACAGGAGACAGGAGTATGAAACGAAGCCTCGGGCATCCTCACTGACTCCAGGCCCAATCGAAGAAGGCAACAAGGCAAAAGGCCCAGCCAGAGGCACACTTGCACTAAGTCCCGGCTCAATCGAAAGGCACTCCTATGCTGGTGCCAGCCTCCAATCGAAGTACATGACCTGACTTGTGCCAAAGCCCAATCGAAGTACATGACCTGACTGGTTCCAAAGCCTAATCGAAAGACATGACTTTGTTGTTGCCAGCCCCAATCGAAGGAGGCCAACAGAATGCAAATTGAAGGCTGCTCCTGCCCAAATCAAAGGAGGCCAGCAGAATGCAAATCGAAGGGTGTTGCTTCCTGGGTCGAAACCCTCATTTTTCTTGCTTTTATTTTATTTTTACCTTTACATTTCTATGCACTTCAATATAGTTGTAATAGTGTAGGATTTATTTTTTGCACTTTTTATTACTGTTGTACAAATGCTAGTAATTAGGCGTGTATGGCAAGATAAAACCAACAAGTAGACAACCTAAAAATCAAAGACAAATGCATGCAAATAAACACACTTTGCACACATGCACCCTTAGGGTAATCTCACTTGTTGCCTCGGAAAATAGTCATGTCCCTCGAGCATGGGTGTTTTAGCAAAGACCCTCGATAAAAGATCGTAGTCCCTCGATGACCCTCGATGTTGCCTTCGGTAAACGATCTAGTCCCTAAAATGACATTGCTAAAACGTCTCATATGTTGCCTTCTATGACTATACAAACGTCCCGCACCCGTCCCGTTCAAAATCCTAACACAAGGTTGTTCACCAAATACAATGGTGAAATAACACTGTTAAAAGGGTTAAAAAAACATGAGAAAGATCTTTGAGTAAAATTAGGGTAGATAGCTATTAGTTACTTGATCAAACTTGCAAAACATCCTTGCCATTTTTCAAATACACATCTCCACACAATTTCAAAACAAACTTTCAAAAACATTGAAACATCTTTTCAAAAAGACAAACACCTTTGTAAAACATTCAAACAAGAATTATTACAAAGGTTGCCTAGACAAGGCATCTGTGATACAGTGGGAGAACTGACTTGAGGTTTTGCGTTTGTATTCGCAAATGTTTCGGTTGAGCAAGAGTCGCCACCGACTTTTTATTTTATCCTAAGGAAAGGTTAAAAAGCACAACAAAAACCTTTGAGATGTTTTCTTGGGTTCAGGGAGTAGATTATAGAAAGGGAAGGTATTAGCACCCTTTCTATCCATGGTTATCCATGGGCTCTTAGTTACATGCTTAGATCACTTGCCTTGCATTTTCAATTGTTTGAAATGGTGCTTTTGTGTGTGGGTTTGAAAATGTTTTGAAAAAGATGCCTTGTCTAGGCAACCCTTGTAACAATTCTTTACTCGAATGTTTTACAAAAGGTATTTGTCTTTTTGAAAAGATGTTTCAAGGTTTTGAAAGTTGTTTTGAAAGTGTGTTGTGATGTGTGTTTTGAAAAATGGCAAGGATTGTTTTTTGCAAGATTGGTCAAGTAACCAAGAGCTATCTATCCTAAATTTCTCAAAGATCTTTCCTATGTTTTAACCCTTTTAACAGTATTGTTCCACCATTGCATTTGGTGGACAATCTTGTGTTAGGATGTTAACGGGACGGGCGCGGGTCATCGATTAGACCATGAATGCAATGAGGCCAAGTGTCTTTGGCAATTTTTCCTTCAAGGGACTTGATCATTTTCTAGGCAACTTGCGAAAGCGTCATCGAGGGACTATGATCATTTTGATTTGTTTTGTTTTGCCAAAGACACTCAACATACAAGCATGGCCCATTATTGAAGACAACAAGTGGAGTAACCCTAAGGGTGCAAGTGTGATTGGTGTTGTCCATTTTCATGCTTTTTGTCTTTGAATTAGGTCAAGCTATTTGTTATTTGATTTTTGCATACAAACCCTAAGTCTATCATGGCATAATTAGAAAGCTTTAAAATGCGGAATTTAAAAGTCCTAAATTATTACAACATAATTATGGGGATGGGGGTAAAAATGTTTGAATGGGGGATATTTAGCAAGAAATTTAAATCTAGACTATTACATCCATATTGAATATCCAAGTTATTTAATTGTACAATAATTAAATAAATAAGTATGCAAAAAATGTATTTATGCACAAAAAATATTTTTTTATGTATGTAAAAGTATTTTTCAAGGCAAAATATAAACAAAATAAGAAGGGTCAATTTTTTGTGGATATTTTCATGTTTTTAGGGCAAAACCCTAATTTTCTAAATAAATAATAATAATTTATTTATTATATACAATATTTATTAATTATATACTAAAAATAAAAAAAAAGAAGTATAGTGTGAAAAAAAAGTATTTTGATGTCATGTATTAATAAAATAAAAAGGTATTATTTTTATCCTAAATATTTAATAAATATACAAGTATTTATATTATATACACTTAAATATACTAAATAGGTAAAAATAAAAATATTAATTATTTAAAAAAAGAAGTATATTTCTTAGAAAATGTTTTCATAAAGTAAATAAAAAATGATGGTTGAAAAGATATTTTCTATGTCATTTTTTTAATGTTTTAAATAAAAGGTATTTATTATTTTACATGTATAAGTCCAAATTAAACAAATAAAAATCCAAATAAAATGCAAAAATGGGTGGAAAAATATTTTTAATATTTTTTATGTTTTGACAAAAAATAATAAGTCAGAAGAAAAAATAAAAAGTCAAAAATGATTAAAAAAAACACAATGGGCCAAGGGGGTGTAAGTGGAAAATGAGGGTGCAAACAGAAAAAGCAAACTCAGCCCCAGCCCAAGTCCACCTTCTTCAACCTCCAGCCATTTATGTCAAAAAACGCGCGCCCCCCATGCTTGATTCAAACTTCCTGATTCTTTGACTTTTAGCAAAAACTCACAACATAAACATTATAGAGCATCATGTCACGATTCTAAACATATAAAGAAGTTGTTCTAACTCTCAGAAATGAGAGAGAATTTCTTCTCCCCCAATTCCTGACCTAAGTTTTTTCCAATGTTCAGGTTCAAAATTCTCTCAGCACATACAACATAAATGAAAAGTAATTATATGGGTAGCTTCAGGGCCATGAATAGGACATACTTTCTTCACAAACTTAAGCCTAAACATGCTTGGATAGAGAGATAGAAATTCACATTTTACCTGTCTCAGCTTGACTCGAACAGAGTAATATGGCCAACTTCAATGGTGTTTGAGGACTTGTATAACTTGCTTGAGGTCCTAGGAACCTTCTCCTATGCTTGGTGTGCCTTGAATCCTTCTGAATCAAGCTATGGAAGTCAACCAGCAACAATGAAAAATGAAAATGGAAACCTTGGTTAGGGGTGTTACAGTCTGTATCTAGGGCTTGGGATAGTTTGTATGGATGATATAGAACGTGCTTGAAGTGGTTTTAGCCAAAGCGCACAAATGGATTGAGCTGGCCAAATCAAACTGCAGCAGGTACCCTGTTTTGCAACAAAATTGTGTTTTGATGAATGAGAAGGTTTGAGCTCTCACTACAAGAAAATTGGCAGATTGCGACAGGTATTTTTGTAGATTACGACGGTTAAAACCGTCATAATTTGCTTTCCACGAAGGTTGCTTTACCGTCGCAGAAGTGTGTGTCCCCAACCTATTTCGCGACGGTTACAAAAACTGTCGTTCAAGTTTACGACGGGTTTGGAGCTGACATAATTAAGTACTGGTGACTGTTTGATACCGTCGTGACTATCTTTTGAGTTTCTTTTAATTATTGATGGCGACGGTTCAATACTGTCGTGAATATCTTTTGAAATTGATTAAATTGTTTATGGCGACGGTTCGATACCGTCATGACTTTTGTTGATTATTTTTAATTGTTGGTTACGACGGTTCGGTACTGTCGCCATGACTTTTGTTTATGTCTTGATTTTTGTTTTCTATTATATATATATTTTATTTAAATTATTATCTATGTAAAAAAATTTAAATATAGTTTTTTTTTGGGTTATTTTTTTCTTTAAATTATTTCTTCTTTAATATATTTATTTATAGTATTATTTTTTGTTTTATTTTCTATCACTTTGTAATATAGTAAAAATAATTTCAATAAAAAATATTTAACATCAAATAAGCATTATAATATCCAAAAAAATGTGTGTTCCATAATCATGTAAAATGCGAGTTCCATAATCATGTCAAGTAGTACAAAAAACCCAAAATATATCAATTCCTAATCTTATAATAATAAGTATCATTATGCCAAAAATACATGAGAAAGTTCACAATCTAATTATCTCGATCATATCAAAGTCTAATTTGTCCCCCCTGAAGTTCCATTATCTCCAATACGGTAGCTAGACTCAGATGAACGTCTACCATCAGCGGGTGATTCCAATCCCTAAAAAAAGGTATTAAAATAATAATCTTTAAAATAATACTCATAAAATTTAACTTTAAATGCGTCAAAATAATATACCTGTCTTCCACTAGAATTCTGCATTTGCATTAAGAGTTCAATTTCCTTTGTCCTCGCCTTGTCCATTTGCATTAAGAATATGATTGTCTGTGTTAATTCATCAATTTTTGAATTCTTTTCTTTAAGTGCATTAATTTCTTCTTGCATTTCCTTTATTTGTTCACTTTCTGCAGAAGAAGATGTCGATCTCGTATATCTATTAATTTGAGATGGTGTAACTCCAAGTCCCATACTACGAACATATCCATGCTTTTCTTTTCCAAATACTTTCTGAAATGCCTCATTTTCAGACACAGAATCCTTAATTGCAGCTTGTAATTTTTTCTGCACATGAAAAAGAAAAAATTGAGCTATTGTTTATATAACAAGAATAATATATTGGGGGAGAACCTCTTGATCAAATCATGGACTTCCATATATACGTAAAAAGAAGTTGGCACAAACTAGGAGGTGGCACAAACTATTGCAATTGGACTTGAATAATACTGTTGGTATATAATTTTGACATTTTTTCCATGAATAATAAGAAAGCAGGACATTGAACAATGGTAAGGATTGTTATTCATTATTACTATTTCCAGTGGTGAGTTATATTTGGGATGGTTCTATTACTATTACCGTTTTTTTCCCCAGTATTTCAAAAGAATTAACTTGTACTTACATTATTGTTGTATGCATCTTCATTGATAAATGACCCGTTAGGCTTTTTATGAGAAACTGCATACATTTTTCCTCTGTTGTATGTTCGTCCATCTCTCATTTCCTGCAAATAAAAACTAATATAAATTGTTTGTACTATCAAGCAAACGATCAACAACATATAGATTTAGACATACCAACTCATGTTTCTTCCTTGCAAGCGACTTAGATCCGAGTGTATGCGGAGCCTTCAATTTTGCTCTATTTTGGGAATTTTTTTGGGATATTTTCTACATTTGTAACAAATAAAAACATGCATTATAGATAGGGATAACATACAAACCAGAGAAATCTAACAAATAAAAACACTAATGTTACCTGTGTTTTTTCTTTCCGCCTATATTGAACATAAACAGCCCAGTCATTTTCAGGAATGCCTCTGCATTTTGGATAATTTTGAATATTTTCCTCCAAAGGGAGATCCCATCTATAAAATTCGTGAAACAATGTATGTCGGGCATCCTTCCATTTCCTTGCAGCAGAAGCAAGTACAAAATCTTTGTCACGCCCATCATCCACAAGAAAATGGCGCTAAACATAAAAATATATTAGTTGACAAAGGAAATAATAATCACCATGAAGTTAATTTAAAAAATATGTAATTGTTTATTAATAATACCTTTATCTTTGATTCATAAAAATTTGTTTTTGTATCTGCTGGAACATTCTTCCAACTCTCAAACATTATGGGAATATCTCTAAACATTATAATAATTATACCCAAATATCCTGCTAGCAAACCAGAAGCCGGTCCTACTGCACAATCATTCTTATTGAATTCAAGTATTATCCATGTTCCATCAGGCTCTGATTTCGCAACCAAGTCTTTCACACATAAACGTGTGTTTGAAACATAACCTTCCTCGTCTATCACATTAAAAAAGTAAACAAATTAATTTCATAACTCAACTATGTAAAAAATTTAAATTATTTATAGATACTTTAACCTTAAATTACTTACTAATGACATTTACATCCCAATACTCAGATTTAGCCACTTTAACAACATCTCCAGTCCCATCTCCTACCACAACATCTTCAGCCTCATCTCCTACCACAACATCTTCAGCCTCATCTCCTAATACAACATCTTCAGCCTCATCTCCCACCACATCATCTTCAGCCTCATCTCCTACCACAACATCTTCAGCCTCATCTCCTAATACAACATCTCCAGTCCCATCTCCTACCACAACATCATCAGCCTCATCTCCTACCATGTCATCTTCATCCTCATCTTCTACCACAACATCTTTTGCAATTTGGATTGACGGAGGGGTTATTGTAGTTTCCATTGGTGGAGGGGTTATTGTAGTTTCCATTGGTGGAGGGGTTATTGATGATTTGCGAGTTGTAATTGAACGTAGGCGCTTCTTATTTACTTCAAGCTCTCCAGGTTGTACAAACCTTGAACGGCCCTTCACAGACTAAATAAAATACATTAGTGAATATTAGTAAATAATAAGTACAATTAATTTGTATGGAGTAGTATAGAGAATTTATGACTGACCAGTGATGGTTTGGAAGAAGGCTCTGATGATTTGTGAAGGGATTGAGAGAGTGTAGGAAGATTGAGAGCCGCTAACTTTTTCTTATTCTCTGCAATTCTTTTGAGGCGACTATTCTCATATGTTGTAGTCATTGTCTCACAAAAGGCTTCAACTGCAAGTATAGGTATTAAGTACACTAAAAGTAGTAAACATCAAAATTATATATTAGTGAATACAAATTTAATAAACATAACATAAACACAATAAATTAAAAACATAGAGTAACAATGTCATCTAACATATTAATTAGGGATAAGCAACAAAGAACATAGAGTAACAATGGAATATCATACATTAAGTCTCACACAAGTTACAAACAAACTAGATTCTTATCATAGAGTAACAATGCCCATATTTTGAAGGTCTTCTCAAGCTTTATAATGGTCTTTACTCTTTTGCCTATCATTCAGTAGAGTAAATAGGACATTATCGCACACATTTTTCTCAATATGCATCGGATCAAGATTATGGCGTAGAAGATTATCTTTCCAATACGGAAGTTCAAAAAATATGCTTTTCTTTTTCCATTGTTGAGGATGACCTTTTGTAGGATCACATTGTGTACTATCACCTTCTATAGGTTGTTCCTCACGTGTTCTTTTTACTGATTTTTCTTTCACTGCCTTTTTACCAAAGATGACTTCAACATCTTTAACCTTTTCAAAAACTTCATGTCCAGATAATGTTCTCGGTGGACTCCGCATTTCTTGTTCACCATTAAAGCGGATCTTGTTCAATCTAAACCTGTGTCTCCGATCAAGGAAACGACGATGACCCATAAAACACCATTTACGACTAGCTTTAAGACGGAGAGGTGTAGTTTGAAAGTTACACGATGGGCAAGCAAGTCCTGTGTATGTGTTCCACCCAGAAAGTGAACCCAACCCTGGAAAGTCACTAATAGTCCACATCAAATTTGCATGCAACTTGAACATCTCTTTCTTGAAAGAATCGTATGTATCCACACCACTTGTCCATAACTCCTTCAGGTCTTTGATTAATGGTTGTAAGTAGACATCAATATTATTTCCTGGTGCCTCTTTACCGAGAATTATCATTGACATTATAAATGATGTCTGCTTCATGCAAACCCATGGAGGAGTGTTATATGGTATGAGAACAACTGGCCAAATACTATTGTTTGTACTCATCACACCAAAAGGATTAAAACCATCACTAGCCAATGCAAGACGCACATTCCGTAGATCTGATGAAAACCAAGTATGTGTCAAGTCAAATTTCTTCCAAGCTTCTGAATCTCTAGGATGCCTCAACATTCCATCATTGTTAGTATCTGTTGCATGCCATCTCATATCCTCTGCCATTTTTTATGACAAAAATAATCTCTGTAATCGAGGTTTTAATGGAAAATAACGAAGAACCTTGGCAGGGATTTTCTTTTTTTTCTTGTTAACAGAGACATCCTCATTTGTTTTCCATTTTGAAGTGTTGCAATTTTTGCAAGTCTCCCTCTCCTCATCTTCTCCCCAATAAAGCATACAACCGTTTGGACATGCGGGTATCTTTACATAATTCAAACCAAGTTTTGTGATTGATTTCTTGGCTTCATAGAATGAACTTGGAATGTTTGCATATTCAAATGCATCTTTTATTAACTCTAAAATCATTGTCATTGCCTTCTCACTCAATCCACATAAACACTTTATATGGTACAACTTAACCAAAAAAGATAGTCTTGAATATCGTCTACACCCTTCATATAAAGGTTGTTCTCCTTCTCTAGCCAACTCATAATACTCCTTGGCTTCAGTTCTTTCCTGAGTTGATCTTGGCATCACATAATCTTCTTGTTCAATCTCCAAATTTGACGCAGATGGTATTTCATTTGCATGATTCCCATAAACTCCAAATGCATCGTTGATCATGTTCTGAATAGGTTCTTCGACAATGTTAGTATCTTCTACCATACTTGGAGTAGTACTAGGGGAGATAGTACTAGATCGTACAAAAGACTCTCCGTGATGGATCCACATGGTGTATCCCTGCGGAAATGGTGACCAACTTAAGTGGTCGAACATGTCACTCCTACTCTTTAATTTTCTGAAACCGCAACGTTTGCAAGGACATATTACTACGTCGTTTTCTTTTGCACCTTTAAATGCAAAATCAATAAATTCTTGTATCCCTTTTTGATACGCAATCGATGATTGTGGCTTAATAATCCATGACTTATCCATTTCTTCAAAAAAATAATTTATATTTTCAGAATTCTAGTACTTACGAGAACATGTTATTTTGAATATAAACAATAGAAAAATAAAAGAGATGAGTTTTATTATTGGTTGTTTAATTTGTTTTTACACACTACATAACAAGTTTATAGGTGAAGCCTTGTGATATCAATTAGCATAATACAGTTTCATGTAACAGACATATATGGATAAATACTTCATATTAATATGTTTACTACATTTAGCTAGGTACTTCAAGAATATTTACTTATGTTGTGTCAGTGTGCGAGTGCGACCTTAATATTGCTTTGTACTAGGATTTTAAAGTGCTTTTGCGGTCCCGTATGAATGCGATTGCAAACATTGCAATTTTGGTTATTACAATTGCTTATAAGAATAATGTATTTGTAAAGGCACACTCAAATTTAAGATAAAATTCTTATAAGATAAAATTCTTTAGTCTAACACTATTAAACAGTGATATAGTAAAGGCACACTCAAATTTAAGAATGAAATCATACCTCAAAGACGCACGAGGGTTTGAAGAGCAGCGAAGCAAGTGGAAGAGAAAAGTTACCTGCAACAAAAACCAAAGCAGCATATCAATAGTTGGTAGAAATCATAGATTTATCAAATAGAAATCTTATATTTTTCAACAGCTCATATCCCTTTAAATCCAACAAAAACATTATTATTTACATTCTAGTCCAGAAGACAGTTCATGTTTCAGATGCATGAAAATGTGTCATCAAGATTTAGAATTAAAATTTAAAAACTATGTATTTGGAGAATCATATAAGCACCATTTGTCATATTTCCAGAATCATTTTTAGATAAAAATGGAAAGCTGTTAAGAACCATTTTTCCAGTATGTTTCCTACTTAATTCATTCTTACATGTCTCATTAATAGTTGCCCACGTTGCTCATTAATTAGTTTGACTCACGTGCCTAAATTAAACAATGTAATTACCCTTTTCATTTTACCCGAAAATAAAAAATAAAAGAATATTCTACTAGAGATTTTAAGTTAGGTGTTAGCTACATCTTTTAATACAACAAGATGATAAAAAATATTCTAAAACATCCTCTATGGCCTTACTTTTAACCTCATCCAAATAAGTAATATCTATTTTTTTTTAATTCTATTGAATCAACACTCTCTCAATCCTTTTGGTCTCTTTGTTTCTCATGAGTATATAAATAACCCAAACCTCCAAATATCTTCTTCATTCAAACTTCAAAACTCACATAAAACATATATTACACACAGTAGGCATATATACAAAATTCCAAGTGTAATACACAGTAGGCATATATTACACACAGTAGGATTAAAATATATATTACACACAGTAGGCATAAAATATATATTACACACAGTAGGCATATATTACACACACTCTTCTCTTTCAAAACCAAAACCAAAACCAAAATCTTCTATACTTCCCTCAAAATTCCTACTGTAATAAAAGTTAAATCATGCGAAGGTCATATAACTCTTTTCCCCTTACAAAACATAATGATCAATTACAGGTCATAAAAGTTGTAGAACAATTAGGAGAAATAACAGGAAACAAGAGAGTAATATTTAACCTTCTCTTTAACACCGTCGACAATAGCCCATGTGTATTTCTCCTCTTGCTTCAATTTTTCTTCCTTCAGAGCTTTCTTCTCCTGCATAAAGGGTTAAGACAGAGTCAACAATTTAAAGATAGATGACATGAATTATGGAAGGTTCAACTGGTACAAGGAAAGAAGATAAGAATTCTCAAAAGAATTCAGAGTATGCAATAAACTGACTGATTCTAGAAAGCCACTCTCCAATTACAACTGAGTTCAAAAACTAACACTCCCTTCCCTCCAATTACTATTTATTATTTTGTTTTACTAATAGAATCAGTTATTCATCTGTTACAACTGTAACTACTATGTATATTCTGTTTTACTTACTGAATTAGTTACTCATTTGTTACAACTGTAATAATTAGAGTTACAAGCTTAATTCCCACTTTTGCCCTTCCTAACATACACCTTTCTAACAGCTGGTCTACTAACAAATTATGGTTCTTGTGTCCTTTTTTATTTTTTTCACAGATATATAGTACAAGCATTACAAACACTGATTTCCATATCTTTTAAAGTAGCAGCTTACTGATTATGATGTTGAAATATAGGGAAACATTACAGCAACCAAAATCAGCATTGATATATATATATATATATATATATATATATATATATATATATATATATATATATATATATATATATATATATATATATATATATATATATATATATATATATATATATATATATATATATATTAATTTACAACTAACTAATCTCAGCAATATCAGAGCTAAACAAATCAATATGTCCTAGTAGTTGGCAGCAGATGTATTCAAAATCATAGCAAAACACAGAAACAACCTTGTAATTATTAACGAAAGGGTCGTAACCAAATGCATATGTTAGTGTTCCATGATCTTGTGGAATTTCTAAAGAGGGTAGTTTCTTTACTTTTCTAATGGAAGGGTTCCAGAGAAGAACATGAGAATTATTGGCTAAACAAATGAGACCATCACATGATGCAATTATATCATCATAGTAGTCTGGATCAATCGGAGAACAAACGAGTTGTGTGGCGTTTGTGGTGAAAAGTAAAAAGTGGTATTGATGGTAAGAACCCCTAAGGCTGTACTATTCAATTAAACATCACATATATGCATTTGAAATGAAAATTAACAGAGTTTCCATGTAGTGGATATGCAAAATCAATAGCATCCAGTTTACATATGTTGCATTAATTACTCTATTCAACTTTAATCATTATATTCAACATTCACACGTTTACCTATTACACTATACGGTACGTTAATGCTTTTCGGTTTCTTATAGGATTTTCGTTTTCAATATAATTTGCATCGATTCGAGTCTGTTTTCTTATCTTGTTTCAGCAGCAGCAAATTATAGGATTTTAAAAGAAATTGAAGTTCTGTCAGCTATAGATGTGGTAAGGGCTGCCATGCTTATCACCAAAGACAATAATCTACTGGATTGCTTTTTCACTATGGATACTCTTGAATTGAGGAAGGAATTTGTGAAAATTATTTTAACTACCAATAGTTCTTAGTAGCATTTTGAATGTTTAATGCTTTTATTATTTAGTAAAATAAGATCATGTGAACATTGTCTTTATTGGTTTTATTACTTAGTTTCCTCTGCCTTTACACTAGTGTTCTGTCTGTTTTAATCATATGCATTGTGTTGTTTACGTTCCTGTGTGATTCTGCTACTAAATATTGATAAGTTTTAAGACAAGAACTTTGTTTAATATTGCAATATTGATACTTCTCATTGAGTATACATAGATCTACTATCAACTATGTCAAAACCTCGGATGCACTGTGTTGTTCATGTTTCTATTTGGTCTTGCTACTGATTTTTTTTATTATGCTTAATGTCAATTTATTATGCAAGTAAAAAATGCAGGAGGAAATATATGAGATGCGTGATTAAGTTAATGGTTGTATGAATGCATTGAGATAACTTGCGCATGAGAAAATAACAATTCTCAAGTAGAGTTTGGTGATAGTATGAATGCATGTTAAACGGGGTAAGAAAAAATACAGAAACGATACTGCAGTGCCAATTAAGACATGCTGAACTATTGATGATACATACATATCTTTTAATGTACATAGACTAAAATAAATTTAAGATCATATCGATAGTGCAACTTTTTGTGTTATTTTTATGACCCATACTAGTTAATAACATATATTGGATTTTAGTTAATCTTTACACATAAACAACATTTTGATGATTTTACATTTTTTTAGAAATTTTACCAAACATGGTTTTAGTTATTCCTAGAAATTTTGAAAAAATAATCCCATGAATTCTAATTGGTAACCAAACACTTTTTAAAAAAATTCCAAGGAATATAATTTCCATCATTTTATTCCAGGAAAACTTATTCTAAGGAATAATATAAACCCTAAAACAACAAATCAGAAAACCTAAAAAATCATAAAAAGAAATAAAACCCTAAAACAACAAATTAGAAAACCTAACATCAATTCAATATATTCAAACTCAAAATCAATCATCACAAAGAGCTCAACCATAAGATTCAAGTGATTCTCCAATGCTGAAATCAATGGCAAAGAATGAGAGAGATGAGAACAATGCAAAAAGTGATACATAAAACTTATTGTGTTTGAAGAGATGAACGCAGAGGATGTTAAACTGCTTGCTGTGCGTTTTTTGGTGTGAAGATGAGCGGTTTGAAGAGATTCCTTTCGGTGTCAAGGGGTTTCTTTCGGTGTGAAGAAGAACGGCATGAACGACACTGTGAGTAGAAAAAGTGAACGCAGGAGTAGAAAGTGAATTGATGTTTTATGTATTTTAAGAGCTTTTTAACTTTTTTACGGTGACGGGTGTTTTACCGTCGTGCCCATGAGAATTTTTAAAGGTTTTGGGTGTGACGGTTGTTTTACCATCGTGAAATGAATTTTAGGACGGATAATTTTACCGTCGTGAAAGGTTTAAGGGTGCGACGGGTGCTTTACCGTCGTGATATGCCTTTTAGGACGGTTAATTTTACCGTCGTGACTAGTTGTTGGTGAAAAATCAATGTTAAAAGTGTTAAATGGGGGCCGACGGTTGTTTTACCGTCGTAATAATAATATTATGATGGTTAATTATACCATCGCAAAATAAATATTAGGGACGGTTGGTGTCAACTGTCGTAAACACTGTCTCTATATGTCAATTACGACAGTTATCACATAACTGTCGCAATTTTTGTGTCGTTAAACACTAATTTTCTTGTAGTGTCTGGTTGATTCGTGTTTTAGGTCAGTTGGATCAAGTGAAAAGTGTTTACAAAGTTTGTTTTGGCTTTTGCTTGCAGGAAGTGAATGTGGTACTTGTTTTGCAATCTTTCTTCTTATCTAAGCAAAGATTGTCAAGTTGGATTATAGGCTGCTACAGGCCC